TATGCCCAGAAATAATTACACGAAAACTGTAAACATTCTTTTAAACATTGTCTGGCCCGGCTAGGTCCAGTTTTTTATTGGCTAGCTCTTACATATTGTTCTAACCCATTTCTAATATTCTGTGTAGCCCATGAGCTGGCTTACCAGAGAGGATCTTAACCTGCGTCTGTCTGGAGTGGGAGCATCATGGCGACTCCTCTACTAAGCTTCCTTTTCCCAGAATTCTCTTCTGTCTACTCCGCCTACCTAATTTTCTGTCCTATGAGGGCCGAGGCAGTTTCTTTATTATTACAAGACCCACCTCCATCAATGATTCTCCCACTCCAGACAGACGCAGGTTAAGATCTTTCCTGGTAAGCCAGCTCGTGGGCTACACAGATGATTAGAAATGGGTTAGATTAATATGTAAGAGCTAGCCAATAAGAGGCTGGAACTAGCCGGGCAGCCGGGCCAGGCAGTGTTTAAAAGAATACAGCTTCTGTGTAATTATTTCGGGGCATAAGCTAGAGTCATGTGGGCGGCTGGGTGCCGGGGAAGTGGCCCGCTGCCCTTATTTCAACAGCCAAGCGGTAACCACAGGGAACAGAGAGAGGGGCCAGATACGCTTCCGCATCAGGGTAAATAGTCTATGAGGTCACATTCCAGTAGGCAGGTAGTTACTAGGTGTAAATCTTCCCACAGAATCTTGCCTTTTGTCTAAATAAAAGAGTTCTAAACCTAATACAAAATCATATACAATAAGAACAAATATCCTATTGTAACTAGCTTATGTCTTGTATAATAAATAGCTTGGCCAAGACATGAGAGGAAAGTTACTACACTTATTTAGTCTTCAACCCCATTGAAGATCTGAGAAGTGAAATAAGGTTACCTGAGTAATTAGGAAGTACAATCAAATAACTTCCAAAACATACAACAAATCACAGAGACAACTTGCTACCTGGGCAATCACCCAAAGTCACATTAGCAATGCGACTTTGGCTAAGGCCTAGAATAACTGACAGATTATTTTTAAAGGCAAGAAATTTAAAAAAAACTGTTTTATCCTGTCTTGGCAAGATTTGACAGTCCTGCTTATTCATTTCCAGACACTATGTATTTTGTCAGTGGTTGAGGTATGGGCAGTTCCTTGCCCAGAGGCCAGTTTTGCCAAGAAGAAGACAAGCTACAAGAGGAGTGTCTTTGGTGCTCAACATTCTCTAGGGAATAGGTCAGTGTTGCCAGGAGCAATTGTGTCTCACTACCACAGAACTCGAAGTTATTTAAATGCCATTTTCTTGAGCTCTTTGAAAAGGTTGAAGATTATCTATCTATACAGAATATAATCTCTATGTATCTAAAAAACCTGATTAGTCTAACTATAAATGTGACAAACATAGATGACTATTATCTATAATTTTTAATACCTATCTAACTTTAAAACTAAGACAAAAAACAACTGTGCAATAAATGAGGACAGTAACTTCCAAATGTAAACAATGTATAAATATCTTGATCATAGGTAAAAATGTATACTGTAATATGGTAAATATATATATATATTAATATATAAAAATGTTTTAAACAGAGGTAGAAGCATGCAGGCATATATTATTTAACAAAATTCAACTTTGTATCAATATACAAGAATCTATACCAATCTATTATCGTATCATCCAATTTTCCCTCTTTTTTTAAAAAAAAGATCCCTGAGCTTATAAAATTCCTCCCCCAACCCTCAACTGTTTACCCATTATAATCAACCCCTAAATTAGTCCTTTACCACACTGCCTACATATACCTGAATGCCGAGGTTTCTTATTCTTGCCATTCCCAGATGAGGTATTATTCCTAGACATTCCTTGCCTGCAATTCCTTTTCCGATTTCCTAATTTACCACAATTAAAACATTTTTCAGTTTGATATCTCCTCATTGCTTTGGAAATCGCTTTTCCTACCCAAGAGTCATCACCTCAAAATTCATTGTATGCTGAATCCATTCATCCATAGGTGCTGATCTAGACCTTACAGGCCCAATTATCTTTTTGCATATTTTAAGTTTGCATTTTTAAAAGCCAGAGATTTAAGAATTATTAGTCTATCTTTTGGGTCTGTTACTCCTATTTAAAGAGCCTTAATTAATCTTTGCAAAAAGTCAGTATAGGGTTCTCTCTGTCCCTGCCTAACCCTGGTATATGATTTGATCCTTTTTCCTGATTCTTGTATTCTGTCCCAAGCATTCAATGCTGCTTTGTGGCATAGGGACAATACTTCTTTATCATAAAGATCTTGGACCTGTGGATCAGCATACGCTCCTATGCCAAGAATTTATCCTGGGAAGCCTCCACACCTTTTGCTCTTCCTTGCTGTTCCATATGTTTGGATTCTTCCCTGAAATAAATTCCAAACATCAAGGAAGGTCTATCATCTAATATCACTGATGCTAACTGAGAGAAATTATGGGGTATAGCCCTGATATTAGAAGCCCAAGTCCTTATCATTTCCTTAACAAATGCAGAGTGCAAGGCATAAGTAACAACGGCTTGCTTAATTTCTTTTAGATCATTCGTTCTTATTGGCGTCCATATACCTTCTATTGGCCTTTAGAAGTTGATGCTTTGTCAGAGCAAATTACAGGATATAACACTAAAACCCTGGGTAAACCACTTCTGACAGATAGTGGTGACATTTTATCCTGTCCTTGTGCCTTCTTACCTTGTTCACCAGTTCCAAAGTCTTAATGTTTCCCCTCAAAGATAACATCTCCTCCTTGAACTGCTCTTAGATATCATGTAAATTGTCATTCTGGAGGTACATTCTGTCTGCTACCTTATCAAAACTCTGTGATAACTCCTGAATGTTAAATTCAAAGCCTGAACCCTTTCAGGTAACTTCCTAGTACCCTTAGATATGGTGTCAATCTTGCCTATCATGGTATCCACTTGTTCAGATAACCTCTGATTTTCGATTGTATTAATCCTATCAACTAGTGCCATATACTTCCTTAATGATATGATATGGAGAAGAAAACTGAAACCTAATAACCAGTAAGTTGAGGAATCCCCAAAGTCATATAGGCCTCGTGGAATGCCTTCCATCGTGATAGCAAAAAGAGAAACAAAATCTGCCATATTACCTGTTAACCAGCAATTGGTGCTGTTTCCGAGTCATGACTGGAATCAATGCAATGGTGCCTTGACAGGTCCTGTGTTAAAATCTGTCCACAGATTAGATGTAGTCAAATAAATTCCATATGCAGAGCAAAAAAATCACAGAGTCCAGGGACAGGGAAGAGAAACCCAGAAGCCGCAAATCAGGCCGCTATCCCGCGACAAGTAATCATCCAGGACGGGTTGCAGGTTGGTAAACAGTGGCCTTCTGTGCTTTGGCTGCTGCTTAAGGGCTGCAAACACCACTGTGGCAGCACTTTGTTGTGGTGTGGATTTTAAGGGGATTCTGGCCCATTAAGTGGATCAGCAATCCCCCCCCCCCAGAGGCATGCAGTCTAAATCCACGTTGGGGCATCAGGTGATGGGCAGAGAAATTAGGGGCTTAAAAGAAATCTCACACTGACTCAGAATTGAGAGATAGACCATCATTTATTTGGGGGAAAACTTAAAAAACCAGGATTCTCTGTTGAAATAGGAGCGGCAGGGCTGTGTCCCCAGCACCCCGGCCACCTAGCTAGCTTATGCCCGAAATAACAACACACAAACTGTATTCATTTAAACACTGCTTGGCCCATTTCTATCTAGCCTCTTCTAGGCTAATTCTAACATATTAATTTAGCCCATTTCTTATCATCTATGTAGTATCGCTAGGTGTGCTTACCAGGAAGATTCTAGCCTATGTCCATCCTGGGTTGGAGCTTCATCACGTATGCCCAGGAGAGTGAAGCAGGGCCTCTGCTCCAGAGAGCAGAGCTGTCGAGTCTGAGCTCACTTCCTCTTCCTCCCAGCATCCTATTCTGTTTACTCCTCCCACCTATGTTTTAACTTATCAGGGCCAAGGAGTTTCTTTATTGCTTAACCAATGAAATCAACAGATTGATATATGACACTCCCACATCAATTCTCTGCTTGAATGGCAGATGGGATGAGATCCAAACAACAATCCGACTAACCAAGCAGAAACCAGGGGGACCAGAGAGAGAAGCTGGATGTGCTTCTGCATCTGGGTATATAGTCTATGAGGTCAGGCCCCAGTAGGCGGGTAGTTACTAGCTGTAAACCTTCCCACAGCAACTCCACATACCTAAGGTATTTTATCATAGGAGCAAACAGAGACATTTTTTTAATTCCCAGTCATTTGCCACCCTCATTCTAATAAAAAACAGCCGCTTTTCTCATTTCTATTATTGTAAATTAGTTTCCCCTTAAAAAAAATCTTTCACAAAATAAAGTCGTATAATTTGTGCCTGGTCTTCCTTTGTTTAGCACAATAATGAGTCTGAATCATGCCATCATATGAGCAGTAGCTTATTGCTTTTCTTCCTATGATATAGACAGGAGAAACTTCTATGAACATACTATAATTAGTTTTTCCACCCTTCTACTCATGAATATTTTGATTGTTCTTGGATGTCTTTCTTTGTGACCATACTTACTTCTCTTGGGTCAATATCTAGGACTAATCTTGTTGGAATATAAATCTGTTTATATTTATGAGACAGTTTTTTCTCATTGCATGGTATAAGACTTCAATATTCTCTACCATGTTGTGTTTGCTTGTGTCTGCCTCCATATTTCTTCCCCTTTAATGCATGCAGAATTAAACTTTTGACAGCATGTGCACTTCCAAAGAGCAGTGTTAATCATGAACTTGAAGAAAAGTGTTTTACTCAAGCAACTGGCCATAGCAAGCAGGATATGCAGAAGAGGTGCATGCTAGAGAATGACAATCTGACTGCATGCTTTATTTGCAACACACACACACACACACACACACACACACACACACACACACCACTGTTGTTTCTCTTAGTTTCATCCAATTAGACCGAACCAGACATAATCAATTAGAATGTTTTTAAATTCTGGAGAAGACCGAAAATGGATTTGCTCTAGGATCCTGCTTCGTCTTCTGCAGTAACTCATAGTTCTACAGCCTTAAAGCCAACACTTTTAGATTTCAGCCTTCAAACTACTACAGGTGGCAGGGCAGCCTGTTAGTGCTCATATTAATGTTAGGGTGGTCTATCCCTTTGGACACACCTGTAGAAATGCTTGGGAGAATAAACCAAAGTGAATGATGATGATTTTCATATTTCTAATAACTAATGATATGATATACCTTTTAATACACATTTTAGCCAGCCATATATTTTTTGTGATGTTGCTGATCAAATATCTTGCTGATCTTCTGTTTTAATAGTATACTTTTGTATATCAGTAATTGTCATGTGCATTATTTTGCATGTGTGCTCTTTGTCAATCGTAATATTTTCTGTGACTATGGGACATCTTCTGATGAGTACATTGTAATTTTCATAAAAACTAATGATCACTATTATCTTTTTTGTAGTTTTACATATAAAAAAGCTTCTGGATCCTGTCTGTGGCACCTTTGCCTATGCAACATTATGAAGTCCATTTGTGTGTGTTTTTCTAGAAAGAAGTTTTAGAGGATCGTGATCTATTTTGTTTTACTTTCTGTGTGTGGAACAAGGTATTTATTTTCCACACAGATGTTCAGTTCTGCCATTTCCACACTTTATTCAGAGTCTTCCTTTCTCCATTAGATTGTCTTGATGCATTTGTTGAAATCAATAGCCCAAATAATTGTGGCTCATTGTCTGGACTCTGGTCTGTTTCTTTGACCCATTTGTCAACCCTCAAGCTCTTCTATGTTCTCTTGGCTGGTTTCAGTTTGTTATGCCCTTTTGGTGGATATTTTTCCTTTTTGTGGGTCTTATCTTCAGAGTTTACTTCATAAGCCAAATTGGATATCAGTGTCCATACATTAAATAGGAAAAATAAGAATTCCCTTATATGACTATGGTCAAAAATAAAAAATCTAATACATGTTTTAAAAGTGTATTATAGGGGAGAAAACAAGAGCCTTCCCAGCTGTTAAGACTGATCAGAAAAGGAAGACTCACATGCCTGCCTGAGGCTTTCTGCCTTGGGTGGGAAGGAGAAAGCACATTTTCTACCAAGGACAAGTAAATACAAGGTGGAGTGTTGTGAATTATTACTTTATCTATGTAAAGATATGTCACATTTGTTTAATTATGTAAAAGATGCATTGCTGTTTTACCTTGTCTGCCTAAGGAACCTGAATGGAACAGCCAATAACAAGGCAGTAGATTGGTAGGTGGGGCTGGCCGGCAGAGAGAATAATAGGAGTAATCTAGGCTCAGGCAAACAGAGAATGAGTGAGAAAGAGAAGGAAACATGAAGCTGCCAGCCTGCAGGCATGGAGTCAAACATATAGAAAGAAAGAAAGGCAAAAAATTGTGGTAGAAGCCAGCTTGTTCGTTCCTGGCTGTCCAGACTCAAAGTAACCACACAGAAACTATTAATTAAATAACTGCTTGGCCTATTAGCTCTAGTATCTTATTGGATATCTCTTCTTCTTAAATTAACCCATTTATATTATTTTATATTTACTGTGAGGCTCACAGCCTACTGGCAAAGTTCCAAGGTGTCTGTCTCTGGCGGTGGCTACATGGCATTTCCTGACATTACCTTCTTTCTCCCAGCATTCAGTTATTTTTCCCCATTTAGCTCTGTTCTGTCCTGCTATAGACTCAAAGCAGTTTCTTTACTCATTAGCCAATAAAAGCAACACATATACAGAAGAACTTCCCACATCAAAAATTCCCTGAGGCAAAGCATAGATGAACAGAAGCAGCTTAAATTAAGTTATAAGTGCTAGCAAGAAACAAGCCTAAGCTAAGGTTGAGCATTCATAATAATAAGTCTCTGTGCCATGACTGGGAAGCTGGTTGGTGGTCCAAAACAAAGCCTGTCATAGTGGGGGTATGGATGAGAAAGACAGGATGGTTCATGTCCTGTGGAGAGAGGTAGATCTGTAGAGGTCAAGGTGATGAGGAACAGGTTGAGGTGGGTGGCCTGTTTGCCACCTGAGGCCATGGTAATATCTGGGCCTGGGCTGCTGCCAAGGGCCATGTCTATGTCTGTGGCCCTGCTGCAGAGCAAGGTCTGTGTAGAAGGAGCGGCGGGCTGCGTTCCCTCCACCTGGCTCCCGGCCACAGGCTTGCTTTACCCAAAATAATTACATGGAAACTGTATTCTTATAAACACTGCCTGGCCCATTATATCTAGCCTCTTCTTGGCTAACTCTCACATCTTGACTAACCCATATCTAATAATCTGTGTAGCACCATGAGGTGGTAGCTTACCAGGAAGATTCTAGCTTACGTCCATCTTGGGCTGGAGCTTCATCATGTCTGCCCTGGAGAGGAGCAGCATGGTGTCTGGCTACCTTCCCTTCTTCCCAGCATTCTGTTCTGTCTATTCCACCCACCTAATTTTCTGACCTATCAGACCAAGCAGTTTTCTTTATTGATTAACCAATGAAACAACAGATTGACAAATGACCTTCCCACATCAGGTCTGTGTTGTTGATGCCCATGGCTTCTGTTACCACCAAAGGCCTAGAGGATAGGGCTACACAGAGTTGTTTCTGGCTCTCACTAACTGTAGCACTTGAGAGACCAGGTCCCTCCCCCTTGCTGCTTACTGCACAGGGTTATCTAGCCAAGTCAGTGCTAGAGAGCCCACCCTGGTATTGAGGATAAGCAAGAGCTGACTGGTTGACCAACCCAGCAACCATGCAGGCCCAAAACCAGGACTATGAATTGGCCCACACCATCATCCATACTATCTATAATCTTCTGGAACACTTGACAGGGCCTGTCTGCAGACCCAAAGCTACAGGATCTCCATGGCACAGACAACGATAGGATATTCAAGAGGTGTCTCAGTGAGGGCTCAGTATCGATAGTATAGCAGAAACCAGAGTCCTAGCACAAGACCATGACTCATTGCAATGAACACTTGCAAATAAAGATGTTAGGGCTAACGGGTATACTGTATGACTTACTGTGTCACACTATAGCTTCCATGATGAGATTTTTCTTTTTCTTTTAAATTTTATTTTATTTTCTTGGCAGTGGGGGTGAGGTTGCAAGGGCAGATATGAAGGGACAGGGACATCAATAGGATCTAGATGCATGGTGTGAAATCCGCAAAGTATCAATAAAAAGTTAAATTTAAAAAATATAGGCTGGGGCATGGATATGGTATGGTAGAACAATACCTTGCTTGCACGAGGCCCTGGGCTAGATCCTCAAGGCTGCCAATAGCAGTTCATTGTAATCCTATAACAACATTTGCACATTTGGAATACCGCTTACATTAACTTCACATTTTTGCTTTCCTTGAGCTTAAGGCATGCTTGTTTATTCAAATCTCTAAGTGGATATTCTTAAGTAGTGGGGTGTAAGTTGGCGGAGATTCTTGCTGACTTAAGGAAAAACAAAGATCCAAGGCAATTGAAAAGTGTAATATAAACCCGTTTTCCACGCATTTGCAGGAGGCCCAGTCTTGCATTGTTGGCAAGCCCGTCTCTTGTTTCCCCCGTTGTGTGCAAAAAAAGTTGGGAGTGCTAGGAGCCTTGTGCTTTGTCCTGGTAGCTCTACCTCTGTCTTTTCCTGCTAGGGATTTTTCTTTTCATTACAGCAGTTTATGTTTTGCAGAATGATCTTTGCTCGCTCCACCTCCAAAAAAAGGGCTTTTGAAACTGTTGTAATATTTACTGCAGGACTATTTGCCTTGAAGTTTGGAGCGAGTTTTTTTTTTTTTTTTTTTTTGAAAGGTTTATCCTAATATTAAAAGAGTGGTAAGGGAAAAGGTTGAAAAGCAGGATCTTTTTTTTTTTTTCACTCGAACTCAGACAAGTGAAACAACAATCCTTCTCTTTAATCATATGAGAGCACACCAGGAATGCAAGAGGCACCCAAAGCTGTGCTTGCTCCTTACCTAGGCCCCAGGCATCAGCTAAACACAGGATAAAAGCCTGGTGTCTCTGCTATGTTTTTGTGCCTGTCCCCTTTTCTCTGGGATGCCTGCTTGTCTTGGCAGATCAGGACATTATTCTCTCAAGTAGTAGCTGCCTAGCCTGCCTCATCCTCCTGTAAGCCTGAAAGCACAGAGATCAGACATTGTTCTAAGTATGCCGCTGCCTTGATTCCAGCACAGAGGACCCTCTATCCAGATACTGCATTATTCCCGAGAGAAAGTCTGCATCCTGTAGCAGAAGCAATCACTTCCTGTAAACTACCTGGCCCACTCAAGTGATAAGAAAACCATCTTCTGATCACCTTGTGGGACCAGATCTGAGCAGGACCAACTTAAGCAAGACCACACTTTGACCAGGACTGCTACGTTATGTATACCTCTCCCTTGCCCCATTTCTTCTTCCACTTAAACCTACAGCTCATGCCCTGGACATAGACTTAGGGTTCCTACAGCCCTTTATCTGCTCCTCTTCTTAGAGTGGCCACACTGTGTGAATCTCAATGTTCTTAACCAGCCTGCTGGGGCCTGCTGGCCAAAGCCATGGTTTTCTACCTTACTGTAGTTACAGGAACATGAGTACAAAGTATCCGTTCTTTCATGCCTTTACTGTCTCATTTCTACTTCATGCTCAGTTATTAACCCTTTGTTCAGATCTTTTATTCCAAAGTTCAATGGCAGCTTAATTTTTGGGGGCCTTTTCTGTAGTATAAACTTCCTTTAGTTATAAATTTTATCCTCAAACCAAATGTGCTGGATTCACTTAATAAATTTTTACTGAATTTGTCTATTCCGAGAAAATGCTCATATTACACCAGAGCAACACACGTATGTGTGGTCTTTCTGCTATGTACATACATACAATCGTATATACCAGACAGCCCATATTTGCTAAGGCATTATAATACAAGCCCTACATTTGTTGCTTAATTAGCTGATAGCTTGGACACATTTCAATTAGATCATTAGATGAATCTGGTTGCTTTTCCTTTATAAAAGCATGGATTTGACCCTTTACTGGCTTTCTGAATATAAGATTATGAAGTCAAGAACTCTCCCGTACACTTCCTCCTCTATGATCTTATCTGCAGGATGTGTGCCATCTTCCTTGGCATAAATGAGGTTCTCTTTACGTCCCGGAGTACTCACGTTTCACAGGGGAATTCAAGACGGCTGCATCTCCTCTCAAGTTCTTTCCCGTTGTAGTCGGTGTTCCAGCCGGGTTCCAGAGAGGAAGAGCTAACTAAAGCCAAGTTTTCAAGTTTTCAAGTGAACTGAAAAGTGAAACCGAACAGTCTTTTCTGATGGTCTCTGAAGAAACCATTGTCAGGCCCAACTACAGAAAGCAAGGTACCTCTGATTTCTTTTTGGTTTAAGAAGGGGGTAGAACATAGAATTGTCTATTAAACCTTTAAAATAAAAAAAGAGAGCAAGTCTTGGTGGTGCAAATCTCAGTACTCAGGGACTGAGGCAGGAATGGTCACAAGTTTGAGTTTAGCCTTAGTGTATACAGCAAGTTCCAGACTGGGCTAAGTAGCAAAATCCTCCCTAAAACAAACAAAACCAAACTGAAGAGGCAAACAGACAAAAGTCGACCAGAAATTAAGTGGTACATACTGAAGAAGGAGAAAAATGAAAATGAGGAGGAGGAGGAGGAGAAATAAAAAAAAGGGGGGGGAGATTCCCAGAGCAGTGTGGGGTACAGGTGTGAAATGGTGTATATCCGTCAGTGAAATTGTATAGACGGGAACATACAACACTTGGAACTTGTCAGAGAAGCCTTTAGAACTGTTATTGGCCGCTCTGGTGGGGCTGTGTGCAATAGCTTTGATGTTGCCCTAAAAACCCTGCCTTCTTGCGACACTTTTCTCAAAGTCACTGTGGAAAACACGCAACGTTAATTGCCTAACAGACTCAGAATTTCTCTGGTTCCACTTTGCACCCTGAAGGAGGGGACAAAGATGTCACAGCAATAGACTCCTGCCCCGAGTTGTAAACTTCCCAAAAGTTTTGAAGCTTTCCACATGCAACACTTAAGGTCTTTTGCTTCCAGCGACATAAAAGTTAGCAGTCTTCCTATTTCTCTTGCTCCCGAACTGCAGAGGTCCTTGGCTGAGCCAGGTCCTGGCCTGCAGCAGAGCTGAATCCAGACTTCTTCCGGGTGGGCGGTGGCCCGACCACGGGTGATTCGGGGGCGGGGCTTGGCGAGCTCCGGAGGCCGGTAATTAAAGGAAAGCCTGAAAAGCGGCAGTGCCAGTTCCAGCCTTCTAGGTGAAAAGTCCCCGAGGTGTGCTAGCTTGGCCCCACAGCTTGCGGTGTTTCTCCAGGGACACAGGTGGGTGCACAGCCGGGGTGCTGCGCGGCCGCAGTGCTGCGCGCAGGCAAGGAGAGGGTGGTGGGTGTAAGGGGCCGGTGGGGGGCAGGTGTAAGGAAAGAGGATGGCTGTGCCTGTCTGACAAATCTTTGTTTCCTTTCGCTGCTTAAGTGTCTCCTTTGGTGGCCTGCTCTAAAAGAGAATTGTGCCTTTCTTTTTCTGCATTAGTTTCTGTTTCTCGAACTTCAAGAAGAAACTTGCAAGCACATGTCGTTTCGTGCTTAAGAGATGGCTTTCTTCTTATTTTCAAGCCCAAGTAGCACCCTCTTTTTTGAAAGGGCCATTTGATCTTGAGGGGAGGAAAAAGTACATGCGAGTTGTAGCAAGATGAGAAGCCACTGTGGCTTCAGCAACTTCTGCCCGTTCGTATTGTGTAAAACCCTTCAGTGTCTTCCTGTGACTCAGACATGAAGGCCTTTGCGCTTGCGGAAAGGCTGCTTGCTTTTCTAGATTCACCTTTGGTAGGTAAGAGAAGCTTCGAAAAGTCTTTAAGATAATACTGTTGTCAGATGCTTTGCAAAGACTTGGCAGGTCAAGCTATTGTGGTACTGTAGGCAGAGGGCCAGAGAGCTGAGAGACCAGCCTTTGGGGGGGCTTAAGTCAGGGGCCAGTCTCCCCCTTCTCCACTCCAGTCTGGAGAAAAAGGAAGGGACAAGAGCATCTTCTTTGGGCGTCAGCCTGTGTTGCTAGTAGTGAAGGTGCCTGGGTCTTCCCTTCTGTTGGGTTCAATCTCGGGTGTTCCGGGGAATTCCCGGGACTCTGATCACTTGTTTTTTCCTTCCCGCTTTTCCTCTAAGTGGCCTGTGGGAGGATGCCAACTAAGCTGCTTTGTAAGAGTCCAGGCTGAGGGTCTGTGAGTCTACCGTGTTCAGGAGCCATGCTGGAGCCACTGTTTGCTTTTCAGGAAGTGCCTCTTCCAGTGAGTTATGGCAGTATTGCTTCTGCTGTTCTTGGTTTATTCCAAATCAAGAGGACAGATGTGTGCTGGCAATATTTGACTATTTTTACATATGACAAATTTGGTCCCGACTTGAGTATTACTCTGTGATGGACAAATATTTTTAGGAAGTCGTTTTTGGTAATTCCTGAAGTTTGAGAGGAAAGTCAACATGGTCTCCAAAGAACACCTGACTCCCCAGGGTCTCCAAG